AATAAAGGGGAATTTGTACAAAAAACCCTGTTGGATTTCAATTGTTATAAAGAATAAAATTCACAATATAGATAAAGTAATTGTAAATTAGAAACTCATTGTACCAGAAAATTCTTCTTTGTTTTAAAAAAAAATTGTTTTCTGAGACAGAGTCTCATTATGTAGTCCAAGCTGGTCCTGAACTCACCAGGCTGGCCTCAAACTCACAGTGATCCTCTGGTGTCAGTCTCCCAAGATCTGGGATTATAGGCATGTGCCACCACACCCAGCTCTAGAACATTCTTGATTAAAATGGAGTAAATGTACAACCATTCCAGATCTCATATCTTGTATAGATGCATCTCACTGGGGGGCACACATCTACCCCAAGAGAATTCAAGTTTTTAAGAAAATATCCAAGAGAATTCAACCTCTTCCCAATATTGACAGACAATACCAGACTTGAGATAATGGCTGTCAAAGAAATTGCTAAGAGGTCCAAGAAATTATAAACTACAATGACTGTTAATCAATTGTTACTCAACTTTCTGGGACAAAATGCATGCTTTTGAGATAAGGAAGGACATCATTTATAGCAGCCAACAAAGAGAAGCAAAGGCAAAATTAATGGGACGCAAGTTATCAGCATACCCTATATCTACTTCAGCCTGTCTCTTCTTTGGAAACAAAATGCTTCCTGCATGGCAGGATTACAGTGACTACTGAGGGACGTGGCTAGTTTTCTGGGGATCAGGCAGCGAGCCATAAACTGACGAGAAAGCCATGGAGTCTCCAGAACACCTATTTCCGATGACCGGGCAGCATCTCAGCTTCTTGTGTAGCGACACTCAGCCAGCTCCCACTTCCACACCATGGCAGACTAACACTGCTTCACCTTCACGTGTGTCAGCCCAGATAGAGAAACCGGGTGTAGAACACAAGGTTCTCGCACCCTAGAGGTTCCTTAATCTTTACAAGGAAACCCCTTGTACTTGCTAAGCCATACTCTACATTGTTTTGAATGTGAAGAAAAGTGCTTCAGTGACTGAAAGGTCCAGACACCCTGGAGCTCTTGATGGGGAAGGGTCCTCCTGACCTCCCTCACGAGGTCACTGTAGGCTGTACAAGTCCACCCCTTTCCCGGTAACCAGCGCCCAGCATACCCTGCCAGGTGCTCTCCTTGGCATTCTGGGTTTGTCAGAACTGTCCCAGGCCAGCATGGTCATGGAGTATGACTCTGGGGACCATGGCCAGCTGGTCCTGGCTGAGCAGAAAGGACAGCGCACACCTGGTGCCAGCAAACGCAGTTGTCGAGTCCTGGCCTGAGAGGACGCCTCATGGAGCCATGGGGATTTTTCTTACCCCAGCCTCATTCTATAACCAGGGCCACTAAGTAGGGCTATGCAGAGCAATAAGAAGAATCAGACGCCTCTGCAGGCTGCTGATTACAAAGTACGAGGACCATCCACCACCCTCTACTTACATGAAAAAAGACACAAAGAAGCAAGGCTGACTCCAAACCTAGAGACCATGGAAATTACCAAAGAAGGAGGAGCAAAAGGGAGGAGAGATACCCAGAGACAGACAGACAGAGAGACAGGGAGAGAGAGAAAGAAAGTATTCCACCTCCGAGGAAGATAAAAGGAGCCAGCTCATGCTCCATGTCCCCAAAGCCCTGCCCTTGGGAAACCCCAGGCTCACCACCCTTGGCTCAGGTTCCACAAGGATGGATCTCACAGGGCACAGGCTGTAGAGTTGTGCACGGGTATCTGGGGAGAGTTCAGAGGAAAAATGAAGTCGTGTTATCATAGAAACTGGATCCTACCAAGACCCGTGTAACTCAACAGCCCTCAGGCTAGAGGTCCTGGGTGCCTATGGCCTTCGCTCTTGAAGCTTCCCAAGTGAGACTGTCAAAGAGTTGTAGCAGAGCTCTCTGCTCCAGGACTCCCTGCCGCTTTGGCTTCTGGGTCTCCAGGACCGGGGTTGAGCACACTCCCAAGGTGTTGCACTGTGCCCCGGGCTCTCATCATGCCACTCTAGGAAGTCACTTGGAGCAGGCTAAGCCTTCAAATGCCTCTGGCCACTGCCCATTAAGGACAGTCACCAGGCTGAGCTGTCCCCTGCTCCTTAACTTATTACTGCTTCCACACCACCGGCCCGTGGGACTCATCCCTCCCCTGGCTTCCTGTCCTCAGCCTCCTGAAGAACCATAGGCTTGATAATGAGAACAGCTAATTGGCCTTACCTCAGTTTCCCCTCCCTGAGCTAACTGTGCTCTACACTAATGTGATTTCCAACAGCTTTGGGAAGAAGCACTCTACTCTGACCCTAGCCTAGGTGCCTAGAGCCCTTTTCCAGCGTGTGAAACTCGTGTCACTATTGTATCGAGTTGCTCCCACTGACCAGCTCACTACACAACAGACAGGCACCCCAGCCCTGTGCATGTCAGCCCTACAGGATTAGTGACCCCAGCACAAAAGAGCTACCAGATAGCTACTCCAACAAGGTACTTGCATCATTTCTTGTTGACAAACAAGCACACATTTTGCATAGGTAGTAAGCATTAAACCAACCTGGGTGTGCAAACATCAAGCTTAGAATTTGCAGAGAAATAGGAAAGATCTTCAAGATGTTGTGAGGCAAGGAATTTGAAAACCAAGTTGTAAGGGGTAGAATTTGCACTGGCATTCTAAGAAGGTGTCCAGGGTTGGTCATGTGCATCTCATGAAAATATAACTGCAGAAAGACAGGGAGGGGCAGGCGCCAGCACAGTGGAGCCCATATGTCTTAGTTACTTTATGCTCGTTGCTGAGACAAAATACCTGATGCCCAAGTTGGGAAAGGAAAGGTTTATTTCTTAGTTTTTGGAGGTTTCAGTCCACACTCAGTTGGCTCCAAGACAGGCGGGCGTGGCTGGACCTCCGTTCATAGCAGCTGCAAACAGCAAGCTCAAACCAGCAAAGAGAAAGACACACCTTCTTCCTGCCATTACGTCACATCCTAGCTCCACCCCTATGTGGGTGGAGCCCTGACACCATCAATCCAAGCACTAGATAATGAACCATCACAAATGAACAATGCAAACTCATGTGGCCTGGGGGACACAAACATAAACCATGACACCATATTATCTAACAACACAGCAAACTGCTGCCATGAGCAATGTGTGGGGACACTTAGACTCTGTTGGGGAAGAGCAAAGCCATTCGCCGGCTTCCTGCCTACCTATACAGGGTTAATAAACAGAAGACACTGAGGCTCAGGGCTGGGACAGTGGCCTTGGGCACAGGGACAGATCAGTGTCCACACTTCCGCCCTCTGTAGGTAAGGACCAAAACTTTGACAGACTCACAGATTCTCAAGGAAAGAGAGCGCATCATCATCCCCAGGAGGTAAGGCTGGTACTCGGAGGGAAAGAAACCCTGGGTATTGCAATGAATGGTATACGGCTCCTCAAAGCACAGCGCTAACCAACAAAATCTATTCCTTAATATTTAATTTAACTCATTAAATTAAATTAAAATTTTCTCCTTCGGGGAGTGATCATGAAAGCAAGTGGAGAAATGCTGACATAGCCAATTAGAAAAAGTTGGCCAAAGCTTTCATCAAAATTAAAAACTTTCATGCCTCGACTGATGCTATTAAGGAAGGGAAGACATCTAGATAACAAAAAAATTTGCAAACCATATACTTAATACAGATCATGAATGCAATGCACACTGTATGAAAAGAACATTTACAATTCAAAAACAAAAAGACAAGCACTCAATGGAAATATGAGCAAAGGAGCTGATCAGACATTTCTTTGGAGAAGACTTTCCGTGGCTACAAGATACACAAAAAGGGCACGACGTCTGAAGTGGTTAAAGAAATGGAAACCAAAACCAAGTCACACACATGCATTGGCGACTCTGAGCTGAGAAGCAGAAAGCACCGCGCATGGGCAAGGTGGGGGGCACGGAACCCCAGCAACCACTGCTCAGGAATGTAAACACTGCACCCCTGGGGGAGGCACTTGGAAGCTCCTCTAAAACTGGACATAGAATTACCAGTAACCCCCTCCAACAAGTTAGATTTCTCAGGATATACCTAAGAATATCAAAATGCAACAACTCTTACACTAGTATTCAAAGCAGTATTATTCAATATGAGTTACAGTAGCCAGACCACAGAAATAATGCAAATGCCCATCAATGAACTAATGAATGGACAAATGGAACGTAGGGTACCTGGGCCTTGGAATATTATTCAGCCATCAAAAGAAATGAAGCACAGACGTGTCACAACATAGATGAACTCAGATAACACTATGCTTAGTCAGAGAAGCCATTCACAAACATTTACACAAAGTGTCCAGAACAAGTGTATCCTCAAGAAAGGAAATAAATTAGTCACCACCAGGGAGTGGAGAGGAGCTGGTAAAGGCAGAGTGTTTCTTTCGAGATGAAGAAAATGTGGGTGCTTAAAAGGATAGTGTGTTTGTGCAATCTTCTGAATATACTAAAAACCACTAAAACGTGTGGATTTTATCATATGTGAATTAAATCTTAACGAAGATAAGTGACCAAATCGTTTTTCCTGAGCAGTTTGTACCACTGACAGTGTGAGACGCAGGGTGGCCACGGACTATTGGGGAACACAAGTCGGGTCACGGCATCCAAGCCGCCTCTCCTGTCCTGAGTCACCCTAGGCTCTCAATCTTCCCACCGAAATAAACAAGCAGGAAAACCCCAAGCAAAAGAAGCGTCTGGGCAGCTGCGAAGCTGCTCCTGTCCTCTAATTGCACAGCCTCCGTGATTAATCTATTGATCACTCCCGGCTCCCCTGTTAAGCAAGCGTGACCATGCCTGATAGCTGCCGAGAAAATTAATCACAGAGTGAGCCCAGCGAGATCGGGGAGGAGCGCAGACGCAATTAGAGGGGAGATGACTCAGATTCACAGGAAGAGGCGATGAGAGAGATAATCCGGGCAGGATTTACCCTGCCCGTCCTCAGCAAAACCTCAGCAAGCGAAGACTCACCTCTCACACTATGGCGCTAAAACAGGGAAAATGTCATCGGAAAGTGACAGACCGTGCTCCCAGGTCCAACCGTCTGCTGACTGCAACCTTTGGCAGACAGTTGTGTATCGCTGCATGAACTAAATTTCCAGTCCCATTTCCAAACATGAGACAGACTGTCCCAGCGAAACTCATCACAAGGCTCCAGCAGTCTGAGATGCTGTAGCTTTTACTTCAGAGGGATTCTGAGAGCCAGATCTCAGAACAAAAGCAAACAGATGCGCCCACGTACTTCCTACTGATAGGCATCAGGGATGGATACTCGAAATAGCTGTCAGTCACCTTGAGGAAGCCAGGAGTCACCCGCCCAGCCCCCTACAGGAAGAGTCACTGCTGTTAAGCACGCCCGCTTGCTGCATGACTGGATTCCCCGTTTGTCTCCAATTTGGTCAATTTTCCCTAAGCCATTAATCTTACTGGTTGACCACAGTTCTGTCCTGCCTCATGCTCACTCTGCGATTTCCCATTTCTCCCCACTGTGGACCCATCGCACTTTGTGGTTTTGTTCAATAAAAGACAAGGCTTTGGGGGCTGGGGATTTAGCTCAGCGGCATAAGGGCCTGCCTTGCAAGCAGGCAGTCGTGAGTTCGATCCCTGGTACCGATAAAAAGGAAAAAGACAAAAAAAAAAAAAAGATAAGGCTTTGGCATCCTACTAGAGACCTCTTCTGTCTTTCTCAGACAGAAGCTTTCTTTCTCTCAAAAAATGCATTCGGCTCTTAACCTGTGTTGTTCCTACAATTCATTCTTGGATTTTAGAGCACACGAACTCGTTCTGGACATTTAGTAGGTACAGAGTTTCGTTCCCCCGTGTCACCTGGAATCCTGGGACGAGGACTGAGCTGGGTTCGTCCCCAACATGGGGCAGGAGCAGGTAGAAACACAGCTGATGTCTCAGAGCTGCTGGGGGGCTCCTGTGAGGTGGGACCTGAGAGGTCCCGTGGCCCCAGCACAGATGACGCACCCCCAGGCCGGCCCTGCCTGCAGTGTGTGCTGACAGCACCATCTCAGCCCAAGCAGGCTCGGAGTCTGGCAGCCTCAGCCCCCAGGAAGCTCCTGCCCTGCTGCGCACGCCGCCCTGCTCCTTGGGAACAGACGAGGTCCACCACAGGTCCTGGCCTCTCGAGCCTCAAAATTCAGCACCAGATACTCAGCCCAGCCCTCTCCTCTCACCCTGCACCCTCAGCCCCTGTGCCCTGACAGGCCTCTTCCTTTGTTCTGGTGTCTCTGGGAAGAGGGCAGCTGCTGCCCTCCCTCCTGGGCAGATCAGCTGCCTCTGCATCACAAGAACACATCACCCTCCCAGGTCCCCTCTCTCACAGTCACAGGTTTCCAAGCCACTGAGGCAGAGCCACAGCTCTCTGCAGACACTGCCTGGCCCATACTGTTCTGGCCGCTGGGCATGGCCGCCCCTCCAGGGGACGCTTCTGTTTATCGGTCCCTCATTATGAGAATGAGCGTGAAGATTTAGCTAAAGCCATTCAGTCCTCATTTTAATGCCAAGCCTCACTAATTCCCGTCTCTCTCTGGGGTGCTGCTGCCTCCTCAGCAGCCCCTCCCCAGGCCACTCCTGAGGGGCGCCTCCTCCCACTGATGGCCCACCTGCCTTCTCCACGACCAGCTCAGGCCGGAGGGCGCCATCAGGACAGGACAGTCAGCCAAGACCCCAGACAGAGCAAGATGGCAAAGTCCATTTCACGTCTCCTTTATGTCCAAACTGAAAAAAATATAAACACCAGTAAGAACAGCCATTTATGTTTTTAAAATAGTTTTGTTTTAAATAAGTCTTAAGAGTTGCAGCAGACAAAAAACGAAGTTCTCCACACTGCCGACTGGATTATTTCTCAGGGCACTTTGGGGATAGTGTGCCACCTCCTCTAAAGCCTCTGATCCCCAAGGAACCCTGCAGGGTGTCTCCTGCCGCATTTCATCCATTCCGCAGTTCCCCCAGGGCTCCCACATCCTCTGTCTGACCATCTTTACTCTCTTTTTGCTGTGTGACTGAACACCAGAGAGGATGGACGATAATCAGAAACAGTCACTGGGCTCCTGGCTGTGGGGACTGGAAACCTAAGGTCGCGGGGCTGGCCATAGCTGCCCGACCTGGCTAGCGCACAGCATGACAGAAGGGAGCCCTTGTGAGAGAAATGAGAGAAAGGGAAGGGGAGGAGGAGAGGGAAGGGCAGGGGAGGGGAAGGAGAGAGGCTTTCCCTTTCTGCAACTTACAACCAATGCACTCTTGCAGTAACGCCCCCGCTCCACCCACCGTGTCCATAGCCCTGTCACCCCTCAAACCCAATCCGCCAGTGCCATCCAAGGGCACTTAAACTCAGCGTGGATCCTGGAGGGGGCACCTGGACCAGGCTACAGTGATATCTCCCTCTGGGACTCAGTTTTCCCAGTGACCCCTGTTTTATTTCTGACTCGGCGACTTGGCCCTGAAGTTAATCCAAACCCAAGCAGGATTAGATGTTGTCATGTCCCGGAACAGCCCGGCAGCCTTCAGAGCTGCCCTCTCTTCCCTCTCCTTGCTCGTTTTAAGGCACAGTACACCTGTCAACCTGCACAGTGTCGTGGCACCCGGTTTATCAGTGACCAGCCGTGCAGTTCCCGCCTCCCAGCTGTCCGCTGCTGGGGTCTTCTTAATACCCCGGACGTGGCCATCAGAATGGTATGTCCACTACTCATTCACAGGAGCCTAGCTAGGCGAGGAGGGCTGACTGTGAGGAGTGGCCCCGTGGGTGGATTCTCAAGCATTCTCTTGCTTACCAAGACCCAGGGCCTTGCTCTTGAGACAGTGGCCAGAGGTGGCTGTTTTCTCTGGATTAATAGCCGGCAGGATGTAACTGACCAGCCCTGGATGATCCAAGCTGCAGCCAGTTGGCTGGGCTGGCAAGCAGCCCAGCTTTGTCTCCCATGCCAGAAAAAGCCTGTAATTAGATTTTCTCATCCTCCTGAAAAAAACAGGGGTCAATTGTGTGGCATGCCCAATCCGATGGCAGCACCTTCCCTGCAGGCTCAATCCATATGCTGGGAAATTATATGGGGATCAAATGCACACCCACATCAGGCCATGACTCCAGATTGCTCTCAATGGTGGGATTCCGGATGAAAAGCAGGCTGATTTACATGAATTTGCATCTGAAATGCAAATCAGAGCTCCCCAGTGAGGAGCAAAAGGGAAGATGACTGCAACATCCCTCTCTTTCAAAAGCAGAGGTCCCACTGTCCTGTAGAATGGAACGAAACCTCTGTGATGCGTCCACAGGTCACCCGTGTACAACACATGCAGGATCTGCTGATGTCTTCCTAGGCTCCTTGGTCCTGGGCAGTTGAGATCTGAACCCCTGCCTTCTCTTCCCGCACTGATGTACAAGGCTCCAGCTCCAGGTCCAGCTGACTGTCCACGCAGGGCACAGGGCAAGGCTCGCAGGGGCTGCTGCCTCTTCAGAGGAAACTGGGTCGGCTCCAGTCACTTCTTGCAAAGAGTGGTCTAGGTCTATTAGGTCCCATTAGCTCAGTGTCCGCATGGGAAGCTCAGAACAGATTATAGTGTCCAGAATCAGAACTGCCATCAGAACTAGAAGCATGTGCGAGGTATGTGTGTGAGGGGTGTGTGTGTGTGTGTGTGTGTATGTGTGTGCAATTGCCATCAGTGTTCTGTATATTAAGTACTCTGCTGAAATATTCATGGCAAGGGAAAAGAAAATCTAGTTATAAAAAGCTGAGGTTTTTGTCACTAAGGCAAATACGAGCAGGTGTCTGGGTACAGTGCCTGCCACCACATTGTCCTTCCTGAGCCTCCACCCGTGAAGATGAGGGAATTGATTACCAGAGAACTCGGCCAAGCCTGCTGGGCAGCACAGGAAGCTGAAGCCCCTGGAAGGCCAGGCGGCCTCATTACCCCAGTCAGCTGGGACGGGAAGAGGAGACATCTTGTTAATTAGGCACAATTCCTTCTTGGACACCGATTTAATATTCAGACTGAAAATCAATGCCTGATTGGAAGTTTCCTCACGGGTTTGTTTTTAAAGGCCGAGGCACTGTAAACCGGCAAGTGAGAAGACACAGCTGACCCCACATATCCTTGGAAATCCAAAGGGGTGTACACGCCAAGGAAGGAGGGACCTGCCACTCCATCCTGCCCGGCACAGCAGAGAGGTGGGTGCTGGTTCTGAGCAGCCAGGAGCTGCCAGGAGCTGCGGGACCATGGGGTCTTTCTCCCTCGGAGTTTCTTACCCAGGAGTCTCCATGTATGAGGCAAGAACACTTCCATTTTCCCCGTGGAGCAGGCAGAGCTGTTCCTCTGAGAACAGGAGGGATCTGCTATCTGAATTATGGAAAAGAAAAAAAACATTGAAAAGACAATGATGCGTGACAATGGCATATCACTGGGAGAGAGTTATCCAAAACCAACAAGAGACATTTCATCAAGGGGAAGAGCTTAGCTCATTCATGAGGTTCACGATGGTCTGATTGGAAGACGTGTGAACCATGCCTGTATTATTTTTGGGGTCACATATAGGATATTTTCTGGATAGCCAAATGCAGCAAAGCCACTGTGTATGAAGGAAAATCGGCCCCCTCCCACACCTGCCCAGCCCCACCTGGGCCCACCAACCCAGTAGCTGGGCACCTGACTTCCCTGCAGGTGGGCACACACACCTAGTGTGCTCAGTGTGTGCTAGTCTGTGTGTTGCTTTGCTTCACGCCTAGGGACATCCCTGTCCATCATGGGAAGAGCAGGCACAGGCACAGGTCTGCACATAGCACTGTCTCTGTTTTTTATAAATTTCTTTATGGCCTCACAGACTTGAACAGACTACGGCGCTACCTCGAAGTGAAGTCTTTTTATTTTTGTTTGCCTTTTCTCATTTCTTCTCTACCCTACACCCCCTCCTCATGGACGCTTCACCCCATGCTGCATCTAAGACAACTATATTGCCATGTTCTGTGCATTCTTACACACACACACATGCATGCACACACAGAAGAATCACACATGCCTGGCTGCAAAGAAATAAAAGATAGATGCCCTCTTCTCTGAGCTTCCTTTTGTGCCACAGCATCCCTTCCCAGAGATCTTCCTGCTCCACCAGACACCCGGGGTGCATTCCCTGTGCTCACTGCTTTCGATCTTGTGGTGGAGGCGGCTGCCGTTACTCAGCTCTGT